CCCGCGCCCAGGCCCAGAGGCTGCGGGAGGCGGAGCTGGAGGGGCCGAGGGAGGAGGCTGGGGGCCGCCGCCCTGTCTGCCCCCCACCTCCCGCGGCGCCGCCTGCCCCCCGGATGCCCTGATTCCTCACTGCGCCCTCGCGGCCCCACCAGGCCTGCCCCAGCCGCCCTGAGGCTTTCTCCCAGAGAGGGAACCGGGTCACCTCCCGGCTCCTGGTTCTGTCTCGGCGTGACAGCGGAGACCAGGCCTTCGGTGGGGGTCCTGCAGAGCCTGGCGCCGCCGGAAGCCGAGTCCCCTCGACTCTTTTCTGGAAGCAGTGGCATCCTGTGCCTGGCGCCCTTGACCCCAGCCGGGGCGGGGCAGCCAGGGAGGTGTGCTGCAGCTCACAGCTCACAGGCCGGGCGTGCCCAGGGGGCTGGAGCCAGAGTGCAGAGGGGGCCTTCAGCACTGACCCCCGACACCTGGGCCGTGCGTGTCTCGGTCTTGACACGAGGGGACTGGGCAGGTGTGACCATGACGGGCAAGTTAGGGAGCTAGAAGGGCCCCAGGTGACATCACCCGGGGCCTGGGGCCACAGGTCGCAATGCTGGCCGAGGGCCACCCCCGCAGGCATGTGTGACCCCACCCTCGTCACCTTCACGTGCCACCTGGAGACGGCCACAGAGGTTCTTTCTGCGCCAGGAGGGCAAGTGCAGCCCCGGCTGCGGAAGGGCGGGAGGGGTCGGCGTTCCCGTGGGCCCATGGCGGCAGCTCACAGCCGGCGGACGGCGCTTCGGCTCTCACAACAGCCGCCCGTGGTCCTTTCCCCGCAAGCAGACAAACACGTGCGCAGGCGCGGGAGCGGGAAATGACCGTGTGGGCAGCGGACAAGGCCTGACGGGGTGGGGGTGAGGGGGCCTGCGAGTCCGTCACCCCGGGCGGGGAGGGGAGCCTGCGAGCCCGTCACCCCGGCGGGGAGGGGAGCCTGCGAGCCCGTCACCATCACCCCGGCGGTGAGGGGAGCCTGCGAGCCCGTCACC